GTTGGACGGGTTTAGAACACACAAACACACAGTGAGAGCAGAAACCAATAGATAGGGAGACGTGAGAAAAAAAGTAGACCAGGAGTTAATTGAAAATGAACAACATAGGTGTGCACCAAAAGGAATGAATGAATGGAACGCGGAACTGTAAGCTAGGGAGATAGAATGCGAATGATAGGGTATGATATAACTAGTAGTTCTGATCAGTCCTGGTTTTAGGTCACATGGATTACACAACTGCAGTGTTATCAGCCTGATTGTCATGCACATGGCTCATTAGAAACGTGGACATAGGTGCCCCCGAAAAAATCAGGACGAATCAAATTGTTAACATAGAAAAGATAGCATAGATTCTCAATAACAGGTGGGGTGCATTTCGGATGCCCCGATCTCTATTCGTCCATTTTACCCGAACAAACAGAAAGAGAGTACCTGATAGGGGTTGTAAACCGAATATGAATATGAACGGGGTCCAACAGGTCGACCGGTTTTGTGCTATTCAAAATGATTGATAAAATGGACGATGGTGATGAATCTACAAGCCACCGGCTGAGAAACGTAAATATATTCAGTTACCATAATAATATTGTAGAGTACGCATACATGATGAAACCAATAAACAATGACAGTGATAGCGGCAGCAACAACAGTGATGAAGCAAACGAGAATAACATCAACAATATCCATAAAAAGCCCACACCAACCTGATGTGTAGAGCTATCCAAAAGAACGTTCCCATGTGAACTGGATCGTTGAGTGAACATCATTTGTAATGGATTTGGACTGAAAAAACAAAATGATTCCGGGTTGGGATAGGGAAAACAATAAATGCATTTAGTACAATTTACTATCTGATTCTAACTAGGTAAATATGCATATTCTGCAGAGACAAGTCTCACCCCGCCCATTTCCAACAACCCCGAAACATATGTCATGACAATCTAGATACTGGATGTGCGGTCATCTCCAGGTACGAGAAATCGTCTCGTCTAATCCGATAAACCAGGCTTTCTAGTATAGGTTCATTTGGAGATTCTGTATACTGTAATTAACATCTCCTTAGAATGCGATGCCCTCATATGTTCTTATAAACGTTTTAGCACTTGCTAGTTAGATCATCATTTGTTTGGAGTCGCGGAGAAGAAGTGGTTCAGACAACCAGTACAGGGTTTTTCAAGTCCCACGTACAAATGTCATCATCGATCTATGAATCTTTCTTTTTCATCTTGATAGAAACCTGGAAGTCACCACATTTCTAGCCTCAAAATTCGATTAGACAATTTGTGGTTGTTTTGTTTTCAGCCACTCGTTCCATTACTTAATGCGGAAAGATTCGATGGGAGATTGACGAAGCAGAGAACATTAACCGCAAACATATATCGACGATATGTGAACCAAATCTGCGTAGGCAAAGCCCTATACTTTCAACATCTCACGGAAAACTTGGCATCGCGTCCGTGCTTGTGTAGGTAATGCAGTCCCAGTTCTTCACAAAGAATT